TTCGCAGAGTTTTTGCAAAATGATTCTGATTTTAAGTGTCAAGATAAAATAGATTTTTATTTAACTAATAGAGTCATAAATAACAGCTTTTCATTTCAACTTGCAACTATATCACAGGCACATAAAATATTGCATGATATAGGAACCAATGCTGTGGGTTTGGATGGAATCTCGGCAGCGATGTTGAAATACTGCAGTCCTTATATTGATATATATATTTTGCATATAATCAACTGCTCTATTGAATCTAATTACTTTCCTGACCTGTGGGAAAACTTCCATTGGTAAACCTCTACCTAAAAAACCTAATCCAAATTTGTATAGCGATCTTAGAGTTATAAGTATTTTGCCGGCGGTTTCTAAGATTTTTGAGAAGGTATTATATTTGCAAATTTACAATTTTTGTAACAATCAATAAAATTTTACCGGATACTCAGTGTGGTTTTCGGAAAGGATATAGTACTTCTGTGGCTTTAACAAATGTTGTTGATGATGTTATTAAGGCAAGGGACAATGGTCAGGATTGTGTGCTGGTGCTGTTGGATTATTCAAAAGCATTTGATACGATAAATCACCAACTGATGTGTAGCAAATTGAAATATTTTGGATTTGATGACCAATCATTCAACCTAATCAATTCATATTTAGGTTCCAGGAAACAAAAAATATTTAGTAACAATGGTTTTTCTGATGAAGCAAATATAATTTCAGGTGTCCCTCAGGGTTCAATTCTAGGTCCCTTATTATTTTTAATATATACTTCGGATATTCTGAGGGCTCTAAATTATTGTAATGTACAGGCTTATGCGGACGATACACAAATTTACTACCCATTCGATTACACAAACTTTCTGCAAGCGGCTGAACATATGAATTCTGATTTAAAAATTATTTCTCAACTGTCTGAAGAGCACAATCTTAAAATTAATCCCTCAAAGTCGTGCGCTGTACTTTTTGGAAATAAAAATCACATTGACTTCCTCAAGGCTAATTTTATTATTAATATAAATAATGAACCAATAGAATTTGTAACTGAGGCAAAAAATTTAGGGATTATTATGGATAGCGAACTAAGATTTGCAGAGTATGTTAAGAAGGTCCTACAAAAATCGTTTTTTAGCATGAAGCTGTTATACTCAAATAGGCACATTCTCAACTTTCGCTTAAAAAAAATGCTTTGTGAGTCGTTAGTCTTATCGAATTTTAACTATGGTGATTTTGTGTATGGACCGTGTTTGGATGCTGTCAGTAAAAATCGAATTCAAATGATACAGAATAATTGCTCCAGGTTTATTTGTAATTTGCGTAAATACGATCATATTTCCCATACATTCAAGGATTTAAATTGGCTTAAATGGAAAATCGACGTTTGCACCATCTGGGTTGCTTTATTTATAAAATATTAAGCGAAACTGATGCAGTGATCTCCCTTAGAAATAAGTTTGTGAAACGAGGTAATGTTCATGCTGTAAAACATTCGCTCCACAGAAAAAATGACTATGCCACTCCATCGGACTGCCCTTTTTCAGCGAAGTTTCACATATAATGCTGTTTAAGCTGGTTAACTCTTTGCCTAGTCAGCTGCTAAATATAAATGTAGAGAAGTTCAGGTTTAGAATATAAAGATATCTTATTAGTCAACAAAATTTACAATATCTGTAGATTCAAACATGCATCAAAATATCTAGGTGACCAATAAATAGGTATCTTCAGCAGACCAAAGTAATTCTTGTCGTTAATTTCATTCATTCATTAATTTTGCAGATATAGGTGTATGGATAATAGTGTATGAGGCCTTTTGTTTTTGTTTTTTTATTCATTCTTTGTAATATTTTTCACTAGGCTGTTTTTGAAGGTTAAGTAGAATAGCAACATTGCTAGACTTCGCCTTCACTGACGGCTAAATTTATTGTTATATAAGAATATTGTACTTTTCTTTTGTTTTGAATAAAGTCGATTTATTATTATTATTATTATTATTATTATTATCTACCAATGACGTCTCCTTTCTTCAATGTCACACAACGGTTTGTTGTTAGATTGGCCACTCTCACTGGAAAAACATTGTTGGAATTCACTAAGTAACATGTGTTCCATTCTGCATGCTTCCTGTTGGCTCCACGATCATGATGTTCACGCCTTCGACTCACTATTTCCAAGAATTCGTGTAACTTCATCAACGATTATTCTAATTTGACAGTCCTTATTTAACGGTGATGAGAAGAGTATTTCTTCGTTGCCCACTCTCAACATTTTATTTTTAAAGTCCACTGATAGGAAATCAAAGGTTTCTAGGACATCCACTCCCAATATAAATTCATCCACTATGTCAGCAACTATCACTTCTACCTTAAGTTCGGTGCTGCCTATTCCCAATGTCACGGTGGTCTCTCCAAAAACATTTATCGAATCTCCCTTAGCAGTGGTTTATTTCCCAACATCATTACAGAGTCCTTAGAAACCTTGCCGGGGCGAACCACTGATCTTGATGCCCCTGTGTCGATGGTCAAATCACATTTCTTGCCGTTGAGGGTGCCTTGGGCAACGAGACTTTCACAATTCTTCTTGATGGAGAACACCCTTACTTTGGGGGCTCGAGAATCGGTGGTTGCCAGCATTCGCCTTCTTACACTAGCGAGGTGGCGTTTCCCTGATAATGTCTGAAACCACCTTCTTCCTCCGCTTCACGATCTCCTGAGCGGGAACGTCGCCTACAGTTTCTGCTAATATGTCCTTGTCGACCGCAGTTGTAGCATTTGATCCGTTTTCTGGATCTTGGTTCTTGGTCTAACTTCGCGCAGAATTCCTGAAACAGCGCCTCCAGTTTTAGGAACATATCTGCGTCTGAGTTTAGACGATCCTCTGCTATCTTCACTTCCCTGATCTTGCTTTTTGGATTTAAACAGGCATTTTTGGCAGGTTCATATTCCAATGCATGGACAACAGTGTCAGCTAAGGTGTTATGCCTACTCATTCGCAGTGCTTGTTGCAGGTCTGTATCTTTTACTCCATCGATAAAGTACTGAACATTTATCTGTTCAATGAAGTCTTCAGGAGCTTGTGGATACGCCAATCTCACCATTCTCTCAATGTCGCTACTAAATTCCTGCAGTATCTCAGATGTACCTTGGACTCTGCTTTTGAGTTGACTCTGATAGACTTGACTGAGATACCTGTTTCCGTACCTCAGCTCTAAGGCTCCTACAACAGCTGCATAATCACTTTGTTTTGCCTCGGGAATATTTTGAAGAATTTCAAGCGCCTTTTCTCGTAGTGCAAGTACAATGATGTTGCTTTTTGCTGGTCATCCCATCCATTTGCACTAGTAGCGGCCTCAAAATGTCCTTTATACATGGACCATGATGTTTCGCCGTCAAAATTTGGTGGTTTGAGTTGGCCGCGTACGATTGGGCTCACTGATACATCCATTTTGCTGATACTTTCGTTGATATTGGGTTCTTCGCGAATTTTCTCCATTTTCTTCTCCAGTTTTCTATATTTTTTCTCGAATTCCTCTTGGATCGTCCCCATTTCGCCTTTGAATTCTTCTCGAAACGTTTCTATTTCGCATTTGATTTCTTGTTAGATTTTCTGGAACCCAGCGATCCTGTCAATATCCCTCTGTCGTCTGTCTTCCTATTCTCACAGAATTTTCTGGAGCCGGTCTTGCTCTTGCTATCGCTTGTCCTCTCCTTCCTGTTTTTCTTTAAGTCGCCTGTCTTCTTGTTCTTGAAGGATTTTCTGTAGTCAGTCCTGTTCTTCTTGTTTTTCTTTTGCTCTCTTCTCGTCCGCAAGTGTCAACAAAGCGAGCACCTGGTTTAGCTGTTCTTCCATTTCGGCAGTCTGTTTTCCCGTATTTACCATAAATGCAAATTTCTTCACTCACTTACTCCACTTTTGACACCAATTGTTACTCATACGGGTTGGCAGATAATAGACCGATCTCCTATTACCTGGACTACGCACGCCGCTTGTAGGCTGCAGGTGAGCGTCCAATGAGAAGCAAGTTTGTGACAGGCTTGCGTCATATTCTTATCCACGGGCCAGTTCAGGATGAATCGTTCCTTCTTTTTTTGTAACGTGTAATTTGACAAAGAGCAAACTAATACTCTACATATTACTTGAACTCACCACAGTTTCGTTTAAGCTTATGTTAGAATATACTTGACATATTCCTTTGCAATTTCATTGAGCGATGTTGCCGGATGAAACATTTATCAAAATAAAAGTGCAAACAATGTTCATCCACTTTAAAGCTCTTCTTTTGTCTGATTTAAGGCGTTGTAAAGCACTTGACACTATATTACTTTCTCAATGTTATAATGTTCGATTTGTATTGTCTACATTTGTTCTGCAACAATACAATCTGGCTACACTGCAGCCTACGAGTTGCGCGCGCATGTCATCTTTCATTACTTTCTAACTTGTATTTATTACAATTAAGCTCCCTTTTTCTAATCATGCGAGATCGGTCTATTGAGACTACTTTTTCGAACTCGAATTTTATTAAACACGATATAACATGAAAATCACACGAAATTTAACACTACTTTACACTCCGAACTACTCCAAATAAAGCTTATACTGCACGATTATTTTCGAACGTGGTTATTTACAGTTTATACTGCACTTGTCGTACGTCAATCCGAACATCCTTACGCGGTGCGCACCGGGGCTTTTATAGTTATGTGCGTCCTTCTCTAACACGCTCGAATTTTCGTGATTCAGTTCATCTTGAGAATAGTCAAATTTTCTGGCTTCTTTAACTGTAATTACAGGGGGCAATCAAAAAGTACGAGTGTCAAGTTTATAACTTATAAGGGCCATAAGTATCCGGAAACCGTACCGATTTTGGATTAAAATGAAATTCTGATATGGAATTTTACCACTGACATATCTTCCCAGGTGTAGAAGTACCTATGTTCCATTAGCCTACATTATAAATTGTCAAAAGTTCTAAATTTCTGTCACCAAAATAAAAAAACATCTTCCATTTAGTCATGCTTCAAAAAAATCCAAACTCCAAACCGCAGCAAGTTGAAATCATTGTAGAAGAGCTCCAGCTTGAAACTCTTAAAGAATTCGAGAGGATCAAAGCTGATTCATTAAATCAAGCAGCCGAAATAAAAACTAAACACATCGATAACATCAAGGAAGTATCTGTAAACCTCAAAACCAGCATAGGCATGTTGCTGCTGCAAAACAACCCACATGAAAATTACTTGAAAGGAACGGAAAAATTGTACAAAGAAGCCATCAAACAAATCCACAATATTCAAGAGAGCATGTGGTTGGAACTCAACGTTTGCACTGCCGAAACTAAAAACGAAATCAAAAACTACTACGAATCGGCTAAAGAAATTGTCGATGAAGATGATACAAGATTGGACAAAGTTTACAAAAATTGCAAGCGTTTTCTGGAAAAGCAAATGAAGAAAACTTATTTCGAGGTGAAGCAAATCGGCATTCGGATGCAAGAGGAAATTATTACGGTTTGTAGAAAGGTAAAAAAAAATCAGATGTTAATAAAGAAGCATGAGAATTACTTTTGAATTTTTTCACTTATAAAACTTTTCACTTAAAAGAAAATCAATTAGGATTCTAAATCCTCTTTAATACCGCCAAAATTCACGGGTATACCAATATTAAGCCCCCAAAAAAAAAGGTTGTTTAAGTCCCTATTATATGGACCCTTCAAACGGTATAAAGGATAATTAAATCAATAATCCAACTTACCCCGTCCCAGCGGCGGCAACTTCGTTGAGAGTATCTACGTAATAGCCGTCTTGCGACGATAGGATTTCTTCTCCCGATTCTTCCTGCTCGGTGAAGGCCGCTATCGGCATTAGCAGGAACAGGAACAAAAATGTCGACATTGTATTGGTCAGTTTAACGTTTTTTCGGGTGTCATGATGAAAATTCGAACTGAAAAAAAATTCATATATGTTATGTACAGAAGTTTTAGTACTAAGGTAGCTTTGCTCATAGATCAAATAACATTCTACAATTTCTAATGAATATTTATTTATACAGAGGCGTTTTGGGGTATTTTAAGGACGATTGGAAAAAAAAAAACGCCTTGGCGCGTCATTTTTGTATTCAAGGGGGAAACTTTTTGACTCCATCGGTATTTCACTAGGTTGCACCCCCTGGGTGGGGTGACTTTCACCCCTCTTTTTTAGATTGTGAAGTTGAGTCGAGTGGTACCTTGTTTTAAAGGTATTTTAATTTCCGTCATAACTGTGTACTTTTTTCAAAAATCGAACAATTAGTTTTCAAAATATTCACTCTCAAAGTTGCCATGGGCTAAATAGGGAACAATCTTCTGGCCCTGTTATTCTTAAATTAACACCTTCCTGACTTTCCTCTCGAACACGTCAATTTTCTTTTTTTTTTGTGTGCTTCCGAAAAAATTAAAATTGACGTGTCCGAAAGGAAAGTCAGGAAAGTGTTGAGGAAGATGGCTACGGCCGCTACGGGGACATAGACTGCAGTCAAACCTCAAACAAAAAACAAGGCGACGACGAGAAAGACCGAGAGCACTAAAAGACCTCGATCAAAGTCTCAGACGCCGAAAAAAGACTCCGGAGCTAAGAAGCCCAGCAATGTTCCATAAGGTCCACAGACTGGCTCCTATAGCGACGCGGCTAAAGGCATCCAGCTGGCAGTAATTCACGGATGCCACCCGAACACTACACTAGATCAGATCCAAGCTGACCAGATTCAAAACATCGTTCAGCACAGAAATCTTATGGATGATCTGCGCTAACCAGCAGATAGCAGACTGGCTCAGGAGAAGCATCGAACTCCTTGGCCAACTCTGGGATGGTGCAGAACTCAGGGTTAACTCTGAGGATCTCCTTACAAGGCCAAGTTTCCTCGTTTTCCTGCCAGAGCCATAAGCGACCTTAGTAGAAGTCATCAAGACCCGTCTTGGGATACAAAATCCAGATCTAAAGATGGAAGAATGACCCCTGCTGAGCCAGAAAATAGAGAAGGATAGCTCCTGGTCTCCTCTATGGATGAAAACTCGTCCAAGATCCTGGAGACAACCCAGTTTAAAAGATATTATAAACTGGGATGCATTACCTTCAGGGCCATCGGAACGAGAAACTATGTCGATCAACGTAATTCAGATCAACCTCCAGCACGGTGGCAGCCTCGGCGGTCCTTCTTGCTGCTATAGGGAAGTAGATATTGCAAGATTCAGAAGCCACGGTGAAATTAAAGGACGGAGTAGTGACAATGGAGAACTGATCAACAGCAGATCCACTGTCACTCCTCGGACCGGTATATACATTAAAAAGAACGTCAATGTACTGCCCCTAACTCTTTTTTGTTCTAGGGATTTAATGTTAGCCAGAATCAGGTTCATCAGGGGCAATAGGCCAGGGCATATTATTATCGGATCGGCCAACTTACCCTACGATGACCCTGAATCAACACCAACGAGAAGTGTGGAGGACCTGGTGAAACACTGTAGGACGAATGGGACACAGCTGCTCATCGGGTGTGATACGAATGCTCACCACACAGTCTGGGAAAGTACTAACATCAACGATACAGGTGAGTCTTCATTACAGTATATTATAGCAAACAATGTAGACATAGTTAATGTAGGAAATAAACCTACCTTTGTTGATTCAACTAGGAAAGAGATAATCGATATGACACTAGCCTCAAATCATATCAGTAATTACGTCACAAACTGGCATGTTTGAGGTGTTTTGAGGCATGAGGCAAGTTGCTCGGATCAGGGATACATCAAAGTTGAAATTCCGGGAAAAACGACAGTAAATTATCGGAACCCTCGAAATATAGACTGGGACTCTTACAAAGCTGACCTGGAGTACAGTTTGCCGAACATCAGGATTCAATTTAGTAAAGCCATGAGAATCGGGCAGTGGGAAACATACAGAACCGCATTGGAAAAGTTCAAGGAAGAGGAAGTACTGTGAGAATATAGAAAGTACTCAAGATTATACTAGACTACAAAGAACTCTGTCAAGGGGCCCTAAGAAAACCATCAAATCACTCAAGAACAACCTTGGTGAATACACAAAGACGCGAAAAGAGACGGCTAGGAAACTCCTAAGAACCCTATATACTAAAAGCCTGGAGGTGCATTAGGGTATCATTCATAACAAACCCTGGAAAAATAGGACAAGACACGGCGAAGTCCCTAAGACCCATTAGTCTTACATCGTTTGAGCTCAAGACACTGGAAAACGTGTGGATAGGCACATTAGGGACGGTGTTTTGGCAAACAGACCACTGGTCAGCATAGTATAGAGACCACACTGGCAAACAAAAAGGTGATGCTGGGTTCCTTCTTGGATATAGAGGGAGCTTTTGACAACAGTTCCTTCGATTCAATAACCAGATCTCTCAAGCGCAAAGGAGTTGAGGACACCGGCTGTGTGTGGATCAACTCCACGCTAAGAGAAAGAATTGTAGAATCCACCATCGCAGAGGAGATACTGGCAGCCACGGTGTACAGGGGATGCCCACAGGGCGGGGTATTATCCAAACTCTTGTGGAATCTAGTGGCGGACAGCCTGCTTAAGGTGCCCACTAACGGCCCTCGGATATGCTGACGACATAGTCATCATCTCACGGGGTAAATTCAACTATACAGTTAGGGAGCGAATGTAAGACGCTTTAGACCAAACAAGATGGATGGATAGAGAAGGGGAGTGCCAACAAATTCACTATCGTGGCATTTACCCAAAGAAAATACAAGACCTAGGATCTTTTAGATTAAGGAGTGAAAATATACAGATTTGGAACGAGGTCAAGTACTTGGGGGTAACACTAGACTCAAAACTTACCTGGAATCAACATCTGGAAAACACCACCAAAAAAGCGGTAACATCACTCATGATAGCCAAACGCGTGCATGATGGAAAATTATGGGGCTTAAGACCGGACATGCTGTATTGGACATACATGTTGGTTAAACATATCTTGACATACACCTCCCTGGTGCGGTGCCCAAACAGACTGCAGGGAAGTGCCATATGCCAACTTACCAAAGTGCATCAAAGACTGGCCTGCTTAGGAATAACGGGGTCACTACGACTCACAGCAGCCATGGAGACCCTCTTCAGATGGGTCGAAGACCGCGTCTGGTGCCGGAGCAGTGGTATACTCCGCCAACTATAGCGATTACTATGCACTGGGGAGACATGCGCAGTGGAGAACAACAGGAGAGTCACACCCAACAGGCAGATCCTTATACTGTCTGATAGGCAAGCGGCACTGAAGGCCCTTTCAAGCAAGACAGTGTCATCAAGACTAGTATGGGAATGCCAGGAAGTACTCAATAAGGTAAAACTTATCTGGGTGCTAGGACACAGAGAAATCGAAAGCAATGAGAAAGATGATGAACTCGCAAAGAGAGGGTCAGAGACAAAACTTATCGGGGCAGAACCGGCTCTAGGGATACCAAAAAGTATGACCAGAAGCCACATCAAAGACTGGATTCGTAAAGAACATGGGCGACACTGGATATTTTCTAGGCAGAATCATGATAGAGAATTCGTAGACCAACCATGCAGAAAAATGGCCGCAGAGCTGCTACAAATGAGCAGGAGCCGACTGAGAACCATAACAGGACTCTTGACTGGCCACACACTAGTGAAGGTCCACCTGAACAGGATGAACCTGTACGACGGAGACCTTAATTGCAGATCCTGCAATAAGGAATCCAAGACAGCCAGACACATCCTGCGGAACTGCGAGGCACTGAATCGCAGAATACACCGTATTTTTGGGAAACCAAATGTAGACCCGGAAACAATAATGAAACACCACCCAGTAAAAGACCTGTACAACCTCGTACAAGGCACTAAAATACTGGAGTGGTTGGAATAAACCGCACAGGCTAAGTACAATAAGCCTTCTTATGCTTCAGTGCTGTATTGGGACAATAAGTCGGACAGTCGCAGCGTTGCCTACTTTTTTTTAGCGAATCTACTAGCTTAATTCTTTGTCTGAATCTACTAAAAATCTACTGAAACAATTTTGAAAAATACCAAAAATCTACTCTTGGGAGTTGGAAGTGGCTACCGGCTATAGTCGTAGTCTTTCATAGCGATTTTAATCTCTGATGAGAACTAGACAAGGAAAGAGAGGGGATTCGTATCACAGTAGGTGTGAATGAGGCAAGATGTCACCAAAAAATGGCTGCTCTTTTCATAACATAACCTAGAAAGTATATTGTTTTTTGCCTGTCAAAATGTAATTCCGTACACTTTTTTTTCTCCACGGATTTTGCAGCCATACGCTGAACCACCATGCTAAGTTCCAGAAAAAATATAGTCTAAACTAATGGCGTTTTCGGTCACACTAAGCTGCTAGTGCAGGTAAAGGATGTTGCGCCTCCTTTCTCTTTCCTTGTCTAAGGATGAAAATGCATTTCCGTCTTGCTCTTTACAGCGTCATGAAAAAAAGACGACAATATATTATCGCCGAACAGGTTTTACAGATGAAAAGCGATATTAAGGAATAAGTGTACACCGAGAACCTAAATGCGTCGAGAATCAAGTCATTTAGAACGAAGTAACCTATTTAGTGACCTTATTGAGTAATTTTTCCACAATCGATATTGGGATTTTTATCGTATTTTATGGAACTACCAGAATCTACTAGAAATTCTGTCTACTAAAATTTTACAAAAAAAGCTTCAAATCTACCAGAAAAGTAGAAATCTAATAGAAAAGTAGAAATCTACCAAAGGTGGCAACGCTGTCGGACAGGCCTGGGACAAGGAAAAAAACATAACGCAAAATGTCATACTCAAGTAGAAGTAGAAGTAGAATTTAAAATTTCATAATTCTACTACGAAGCAGTGTTGCCAACCGAACAATAAATTAATTAATTTTTCGTCTATTCCTCGGTCTATTCTCAGCACTTAATTTTTTCTTATCTTCCAAATTGTTCTAAGATCAAAAGCCTGGAGTAGAGAAATCCTGTGTAAAAAATGAATAAAATGGTGCTAGCATGTTGTTGGCAAAACTGTATAAACTGTCAAAAAAAAGTGAGGTTACCTATATGTTTTGACGATGACAATATATTTGAGGGAATTAAATAAATTGTATTGAAAATGTGTGGATTCTAGAGTACAGAAATACGTATAAATGGATCGAGAGAAGATTAATTTTTGCACTCATTGAATTCCAGTGTTGTAAACTGAAAATTTCCGGTAGGTACCCAAGATATTTGACATGTTAAGCTAAAGCGCCAACTAAAAGGAAATTATTTAAATTGTCCATGGCCTACTAAGATAATAGGGGATTTCAGGCATTTGACCGGTCGGTTACACTTGACAGATAAACAATGAAGTAAACGTCATTTGTTGCCAATTGGTCTTCAATGACGTAAAATGTGTTGCTTATCTGTCAAAATTACCCACAGGTCAATCCCTTCAAAACCCCCATAGTAACTTATTTAGTTTCAGCGCTGCCAATTGTAAACTTCCAGCAACAAGATTTTTCACTTGTAAAACTTCAGTGTTGCCAACTGAGAGAAAGTTATTTGAATTTTGCATGGCCTACCTACTAGGGAATGGAACCTATTGAATTTCAGTGTTGCCAAGCCTCGATTTTGAAATACGATGCAACAGCAAAAATGGTTTTACTTCGAAAATGGATGATCCTATATTTGTTCCAACCCGCCAAAAAACCATCCCAGAACAATTTCGGAACCAATCTGTATAGAAATTTCGGTTTCTACGCAAAAATTTTAGGTTTTGCGCAAAATCCTGACGGTAATATTATGGTTTCCTGCTGGGTTGGAACAAAGCTTTTGATGTGAAATTCTTTTGAAATGGAAAAATACTTAGCGCTTTCTTTACTGCTGATATTTTACTTGTATCAACACAGAACATGATATAAAAACGAAAATTTCCGCTTTTTGGTAAAAATGCTCTATTCTGTCTCAATTTTTGTCTATTCCCGGCTCTTGACGTTGTCTTGTCTTCTAAATTTCTCTAAGGCCCTGTTTCAAATAAACTTGCTGACGAGGGGTAAACCACTACACCTTTTCCAATTGTATTTCAGAAAGTGTCAAATGTATTTCAGATTAGCCAAAAGTATTTCAGAAAGTAAAAAATTAGCGAAAATAATCCAGAAGGGAGGCGAAACAAAAAAATTCCCTATGTTTGTGCAGCTTTTCCTATGTAAGCCCGATTGACTACAAAGGAGTTTGATAATAGCATTTAACTATTCTGAAATACATTTCAGTATTCTGAAATACATTTAGACCACTTTTCAGTAAAATGAAGTTATGTTCATAACAATAATAGATTGGAATAGGAGTCGACGCATTTTTGGTTGTAAAATACGCAGTCTAAATAGTAAAATTATTAACAATTTTGTTGACAATATTATGCAAATTTTGGTTATGGATTTAAATGAAAAAGGGACGAATAGCTAGAGTAGCACACCAACAATAAATTTCCAAAATTTCGGATCAAAAAATGCTGGAATAAATGAAAATTACAGAATTGCCGAAAATGTATGATGTTTATGTTTAAAAATAATCAAAATCTGCCAAACAAGCAGGTGATTGCTGTCATTTTCAGCAGAAATTTAAACCAAACGTGTGTTCAGCGCTTCTCTCAAAGATGTCGCTGACTTCGGGAAGGCCAGTGTAAACTGTTTCACTTAGTTAAAAATGTGAAATACCATTATTTCATTTGCTCTGAATAAAATTATTTAGTCCATTGTAAATTACTGTGTAAGCGAATTGATATTGAAGATGTCGCCATCTACTTTGTAAATAAGTCAATCACTTACAGAGAATTTGAACACCTGTGATTAAGAAATATCTAATGTATGTCATAAAGCCCAAAAGATGGCGTACTGGCTCTTATCTGACTTAAGTATCTGACGCCCCACTTAAGGTTTAAAGGCCGAGTTCGTTTTTGTCATCTTTTTCGTCGAGTTGTTCCGAAATTTTGACATGCACGTGATTTGTAAATTGAAACTGTCTTATCCAGTCACGTGCCTGTCAAAATTTCGGAGCAAATCGACGAAAAAGATGACAAAAACGAACTCGGCTAAAGTCAGGCCTATAGTTTATTACAACAACGCAAGATGTCAATGCTGTCGCCCCTATAGTGTGCCCTAACTTCACTGTCAAAAAAACTAGAAATCTGCATTTGGCTAAATTATGTGATGAAACGTTTTTTCTTTTTTTTGGCGGAAATTCGAAGTATCATTCTCTTTTACCTAAACAGGGTTGTAGTTTCGACCAACGCAAATAATTTTGAACGTTCATCCGTCGGATTTTTGTTTAAACAGTGTAGCTATACGGGCGTATTTCCAACTATTTTTGCAGTAGCGAGAAAACTACAAGTTCAAAAAATTTGAAAAAAATATATGTCGCGTAGAATTGCAATAGTAGTTCGTAATAAAAATAATGGGAAACTCCATCTATTCGTTTTGAAATAAATGGTGAAAAACTACTTTTTTTTCAGTTTTTGCGATATAACTCAAAAATGGCGAGTTAAATTTGCTTAAAAAAATTATGGATTAAAGTATATCGATAACCATAAAACCTATATTTTTTTTTTGGAATTTTTGAATACAAGGTTCAGAAAATAGGGGTTGACTTTAAACCTTAAGGTGTAGTAAAAATAATTGTACATTTTTTTGGGAATCACATATTAATCAATCAGGAGTACATGAAAATCACTTGGGAGTCCCTGGGAATCGCTGGCAATCTCCTAGGACTCCATGGGAATCACAGGAATTCATTGAATAAATAATAAATTGATCTTTTTAAGAATTAAGAATTACTTAGGGACAAATATTAGGAATTAAGGAATTGAGTAACTCCAGCCTTAATAAAATTCAAGAGCCTGAAATCAAAAAAAAAATGAGTGAAAAATTGAAATCTCTACGCCACACTATGAAAGCTCTAGCGGGGAATCTTAGAGCTACGAAAATATTGTTGGCAACAGTGGTATCTACCTTTCGATTAAGATTTTTAAAAACTTTGAAAAGTCATAACTTTTTTTCTATTCTAGAAAGCTGAAATTTGCAGCGATTCCCAGTGGAGAACTACAATCTACAATCCCTGGAAATTTCAGCTCATTGGGACTTATTGTTTCAGAAATAAAATCGCATTAAACAATTTGGGGTGAATTTATCAATTTTTCAATTTCCTTACGTCCTTTATCATAGATTTCGGCTTCAAATCTCAGAATAATTTAATGTTTGGGTTAGTTTGGGGGGTCTCAACTGATGATTAAAATACAAAATCTCAACATAAAAAAAACATTAAATTTCATCATTTTAGTACTAAGGTAGCCACCTTATGATTTAGATTTTTGTAAACTTTAAAAAATCATAACTATTTTCTATTAGAGATAGGAAGCTGAAATTTGTTGCGATTTTTATCCCAGTAGAGGACTACAATCCCTGTAAATTTTAGCTCATTTGGACTTATAGTTTCAGAAATAAAATTGTGTTAACCAATTTGGGGTGATTTATCAATTTGTCAATTTTTCTGAGTGCTTTTTTTCATGGAATCTGGCTCGAAATCTCAGAATAATTCAGTGTAGGAATGGAGTTTAGGGGATCCCAAAGGACCATTAGGACACAAAATCCCAACAAAAAAAAAAAAATTGAAATTTCATCATTTCAGTAAGAAGGTCATAACTTTTTTTCTGTTGAAGGCAGAAAGCTGATTCTTATCCCAGTAGAGGACTACAATCCCTGAGCATTTCAGGTCATTTGGACTTATAGTTTCAGATATAAAATCGTGTTAAGCAATTTGGGGTCAATTTTCAATTTTTCAATTTTTCTGAGTGCCTTTTTTCATAGATTTCGGCTTCAAATCTGAGAATAATTTAGTGTATGGAATTGAGGGGGTCCCAAAGGACCATTAGGACACAAAATCTTCTCAAAAAAAGGTTGAAATTTCATCGTTTTAGTAAGAAGGTAGTTACCTTATATCTCTATAATTTAGTGTAGGTATGGAGTTTTGGGGGTCCCGAATGATCATTTAGATACAATATCTCAACATAAAAAATTTGAATTTTTTTCATTCTGGTTTGCAAGGTAGCCTTATGATTTACATTTTTGTGAAATTCAAAAAATCATAACTTTTTTTCTATTATAAATAGAAAGCTAAAATTCCCAGCGATTCTTATCCTAGTAGAGGACTACAATCCCTGAAAATTTCAGTTCATTTTGAATTATAGCTCTAGAAATAAAATCGCGATAAGTAATTTGGGATGAATTATTAAATTTTTCAATTTCCCTGACGTCCTTTTTTCAAAGATTATTACTTCATATCCTCTTTCTCACAATAGTTTGTTCCAAACTTTTTGAAAGTATCTACATACATACAACAAATGAATTGTTTTCAGTGCTTACATTAACAAAAACCGCTAACATTATATCAAATCCGATTTATGCAAGCAGGGTTCTAAATTTGTTTGTCCAAGGCACAACACACACAAAACATGTTGTAGCCAGCACTGTTTTAATAAACTTTCTAGCGGCACCCGAGCTGACGTATTACGTAAAACATCAAATAAAGTTCTCGCCTACGACCATCAGAAATGCACTGGTGCTAGGAATACGAATTTATCTTTCAACTCTCCGGCTGATGGCAATTAATTTTAAGTAGAATCAATTAAATAGCGCCATATGATGGTGATGATGTTTTAACACTTTTTGCAATTTGATGGATTGTGGAGCCAAGGTTGAAATTTGTTACAATACGACAAAAATGCAATTCAATAATGAGACACCCTGTAGATGCAATATTTATAAGAATGTGTGATTTTAAAGCAACCAAAAACCGATAATGGTTATTTTAATAGATAACACAAAAATGTATTTGCAATATATTTTTATCAGTCAGCAATACCTATACGTGATAATTTTGTTGTTGACACTATTTTGATGATAAGAAAAACCTAGTCACGGGTTATATTTACTCATCATCGTCGCCAGTATTGTGTAGTTTACCTTCGGACTTGTCTAATAATATAAAAATAAATTAGTTGCCAAAACAAAAAAAAAAAAAAATGTTTCAAGTTCCCGAAACGATTCTAAATAAATTAAAGTGCAATTTGTGCGATGGTTATTTGAACGCCCAACCCGTTGTTGTTAAAGATAATCAACAAATATGTGCAAAATGTTACAAAATATTACCAGCGGAGGAAATGGAAAAGTGTGTGAGAGAAATTACATTCGAAGCGTTGGGAAGTTGCCTGGTTTTCCCTTGTCGTTATCATTTGATGGGCTGCGAACATCGTTTTGTGTGGAACAATGAAAACGGACACGAAGCCGAGTGTAAGAAACGGTATTTTACTATACCAGATGTTGCATCGATTAATAACAACAAAGATGCTTCAATGAGCTTGATAAAATCTGAAATCAGCACATTTAATAATGCCGGATTTAATCCTGAAGATTTAGTTTACGAAAATATTTATTCAACAATCAAATCTATTAGGCAATGCTTAAGCTGTAATACTCAAGTAACTAGCAGCAACAAAAACTTATGCTTATTCGGTCATATTTCCTGCAACAATTGTAAACAAGATATGTGTGTTGCTTGCGTGAAAAATTTGGATGGAAATTCGAGGATCGCGTGCAAAAATGCTTCGAAAGGTTGTCAAGAGTTACTCTATCAAAGTGACGTAGGATTTCACAGAGACAACTGCGAATTTAACCAAATCGCTTGCCCAATTAACAAATGCGATAAAAAGTTTATGTTTAATGAACTAATGAGTCATTTACGAAACAATCACGCAGATAAAATATTTGTCACAAATGAGCTAATGAAAAATATGAGTCACAAAGATCAAATTTTGGTATTTATTTGTCACGATAGCATATTTAAGTGTTTGTATTATTACTATGTTACTTCGGTTGAATTATTGGTGGTTTATTTGGGACCGTGTGTAAAAGCTCAGGAATTTTCTTTCGAAGTCACAGTGGAGGTCAATAAAAAGCAACTGAAGAAAAAGTTGGGGTGCGCCAACTGGAATAACTACATGTTGGCCAGCGGAGTCAGTTTCGATAAGAAGGAATTGCAAAATGATCAGCAAGAGAAACTGAGCAAGTTTGCTTTGGATTTGAAGATTCTCAGAGAAAATTAGGTTTTGCTTATTGGAGGAATTTGATCGATTACGTATATGAAACTGTGATAAATATTTAGTGATTTCACAATTATAACAAATTTGTTATAGGGTTATAATAATTTATAAATTATTTTTAAAATGTGTTGTTTTTTTTTTAATTTTTTTTAATTTTAGCGAGAGAATGTGAAAGTTTTCAAATAATTATTTCATTTAAAGGGTAGCTCCCAAGCCAAGGCTGGTTCTTATTCTCATACAGGGTGTTACAGATCCGCAAGTAGGTAAGTATGAGGATTTCGGTAATTATGAGAAATAGGGTGGGTTAAATTGAAGAAAACTTAGGAAGAAATTTCATTAAAGGACTCCACACACTTCTTATGGGATTTCTGACCGCGGTCAAATTCCATCAAATTTTAGTATGTTATAGATCTGACCTTGCTGATCAATAACTACCATGGGCACAACTTAATCCTATGACTAGTTTTTGAGATACAGGGTGTTCAATGTGTGAATGTCCGATATACATTATGACATTCTATTCAATCAGCCGAATCATATTCGTGTGAGAATTTGGTCAAGGCACAAAAATCAAGTAAAATACCAATGGATATTTGTGCTCGAACGATATGTTCATGTACAGGGTGTCGTATTTTGGTTGTACGTAAGGAATTACTCGGTTGCTATTGGAGTTGGAAGGATGCGGTTTTCGCGAACTTCGGCTACAAGAGATGGCGCCAACAGAACTGTCACCATCCTTTTGGTTTTTTAAGATACAAGGTGTTTTTGAAAAAGTTGCATTTTGGGACACCCCTTGTATATGGGTTCTCTCATAAGTGATCGAAAAGGTGAAAATGGATTCTTATAGATATTTTAACGAAGCCTGCAGTAGTTGCCAGTTGCGTAGTCAGTTTTTCTCTAGAAGTGATAGTTTTTGATTTAGCAACCAAACATAGTGTTTTCAAATGAGACACCCTATGTATTATAAAATCATTGGATAGCTCTGCTTTTGCTGATGCCAATGATACAAAATTCGACAGGTTTGTCTCTAACAGTTTTCCAGCAAAAATATTTTGAGCTGTTTTTGTCATAAGAAACAATGTGTTAGGAAGAGACCCTTTTCATTTTCCTCGCAAATGCAAAGTTCTTTTCTGACACATTATGACAAAAACAGACATGATAGAGATACACCCTTAAACCTTCTTCGTCAGCCCGTGTCCATCCATTGTCGGATATGGGCCTCTTCCAGGTTTTTCCATGTCCCGCGATCCCTCGCTTATCTCATCCATTTTTCCCCTGCTACCGTTCTGAAATTGTCAATTTCTTGTTGTTCCTCTTGTTCTCTAGAGTGCCGTTTTCTGGGTCCATCTATCTTGGTCCTGTCTCGCCACACGTCCGATCCATTGCCACTTCTGGCCTGCTACCCTTTTCACAACATCATTCACTTTGGTTCTATCACCTATCTGTTCATTTCGTATTTTATCTCTTAAGGTGATTCCCAGCATCATTACAAATCTCTGTGCGACTCTTAGTTGCTCAGCTACTCTTCGGGTTATTGCCATAGTTTCTAAGCCGTAGGTGAGAACCGGCAGAATACAGCTGTCGTAGGCTTTCCTCTTTAGTTTCATGGGTACCTTTTATCTTTGAAAATAAAGCTCATGTTTCCGAATGCCACCCATGCTAAATAGATCCTGCGTTTGATTTCCGCCGTTTGGTTTTCTTTGCTCAGCTTGATTTTATGTCCTAAGTATATGTAATGCTCTACATTTTCTATGGTAACGTTGTCTATGGTGATGTTACATTCATGTTTGGATTATTTGCTTATCATTTTGGTCTTGTTTAGGTTAATTTTTAGGCCTATTTTCTTGGATTGTTCGTTTGACTTATTTAGCATGTTGTTCAGTTCTTGAATATTGGTGTTCATCAAGACTATATTATCTGCAAATCTGAAGTGATTGAGGTATAAATACTTCATCGATGTTTAGGCCCTTATTTTCCCATGCTTAGCTAGCCGCTTAAAAACATTCTTCAGTGCTAGAGTAAATAGCTTGGAAGAGATGATATCCCCCCTGTCGTATGTCGTACTCCTTTGCCAAGTGATATTTTGTCTGTTTTAAGATCATCTATTTTTACGTGAAATGTTGCCTTATCATAGATATTTTTAATAAAAGTAGAGTATCTCGAATCGATTCTTGCGTCCTCCATTGCCGCTAAAAAAGACTGGTAGTCCACAAACGCCAAATGTAGGGGTATGTTATATTCCGTTGTTTTCTCGATGACTGCTTCAATTGTTTGCAGATGTCTGTAGTGCTAATGCCCCTTCGAAAGCCTGCTTGTTCTACCGGTTGGTAAGAATCTAACTTCGCAGTCAGTCGATTGTTGATAATTCTAGTGAAAAGTTCATATAGGTGTGATAGCAGGCTTATGGGTCTGTAGTTTTCCATATTTGAACGATCCCCTTTTTTGTATATTATTATCACGAATTCGGCATTTTTCCATGGTTCCGGGATTTTTCCCTCTATCAGACATTTGTTTAACAGCATTTTTATTGTCTCAGTGTTTTTCCATCCATCTTTAGCATTTCCGGTATTATTCGATCTTCTGCCGGACTCTTGCCGTTTTTTCGAGCCGTTCGATTGTTTATCCATTTATTTTTTAGATCAGTGGTTGGAGTGCGTATTTAATTTCTGATAGTGATATTTCCGGCATGTCTTCTGAGCCTACGTTTGTAATGTGTTTAGGTGGTCCATTTCGGCTTGGTATAGTTGTTTGGTAGAGCTGTTCGTAGATTATTTGTATTTCCCTTCTAATTTCCGGTTTGTCTGTGATTAGGATTTCTTGATTGCTTTTTTTTTCACAATTTTCTGTTTTCCCCTCTCTTGGTTCGATCTTAGAGCTCTCATGCCTGTATTTTTCTCTATAGTTTCTAGGATTTTGTTTGTTTTGTTTTCTCTTAGGTCTTTACTTATTTCTTTTTTCGTTGTCTTATTTAGGGTATTATATTCTGGGAAGTCTCTGTCAGTTTTTCTTCTTTTTCTTATTAGTTCTATCATCTCTGGTTTTAATTTGGTATCTGAGCTCTGTCTTATCCTACTGCATGTTTTCTTTGTGGCTGATCTATGTCCTTACCCTGGAGTGTTGGTAGTCTTGGCGTCTTCTCCAGTTCTTTTTGATAGGTTTCCTGATTGAGTTGCAGGGCATCTCTTGTAGGGAATGGGAATGTATTGTTCATCGATTTTCAACTGACACTTTCCGTATGAGGAGCGAGGGGGTGTTTCATACGGCAAAACAGGTGTGACATAACCATTGGCGTTCTAATGTAGGGAGCCACCAGCTCACATTCCGTCCGAGTATCAGATTTAAATCGACGGACAATATGTCTGGTGACTAGTCTTCTCCTTTCTCTGTTGATGTTTATTTGTATCTTGGCACGCTCTAGTCTATGGTCGCTTCCTGTGTCAAACCTGTTTAGCACTGTGACATCTTTGCAAATAGTGTTCCTATTAGCGAGGACGGAGTCATTTTAATTTTTCACCAGTCCACAGTCCACCTGGGTTTTACTACGTCCACTTCCTTTAAGTTTATTTTTGGAAGAAGGTGTTCATACAGTAGTTTTTCGTTCATTAAGAAATTTACGAGCGTTTCTCTTTGTTCGTTCCGTTCTTCCTGGCCAAAGTTCCCTTGTAGCATGTATCACCTGGTTGTTTCTTTCCTACCTTGGCGTTAAAGTCCCCTGTAATGATTACATATTGAGTGTTTTCGAGGTTACTGGCCCGTGTAATGTCTTCGAATAGTTTTTCTATGTTGCTCGCTGTGCTTGTAGGTGCGTAGCAGTGTATCAGTTGAATACTGTATCTTTTGTTTAGGCTTATTACCAAATATATCACTGTTTGATATTGCTTGGGATTTAGTGATGAGGTGTTTGAATTGACGATTGATGAAAGCAACTCCCCCTGGCTATGGTTGGTCTCGGAGTTATTTTGAAACAGGTTGTGCCCAGAATTTAGAGATTTAGAGTTACACCTATCGAACTTTAGGTTTGAAATCAGCAAAAGTAGAGCTATCCAATGAGCTTCTAGTAAGAATATCTATAAAAATCCGTTGTTACCTTTTCGATCACTTATGAGAGAACCGAGAAACAAGAGGTGTCCCAGAATGCAACTTTTTCAAAAACATCTTGCATCTGAAAAAACCAAAAGAGCGATGACAATTCTGTTGGTGCCATTTTTCGTTTGACAAAAAAGTAGCCAAAGTTCGCAAAAACCCCATCCTTCCAACTCTAATAACAACAGAGTTATTCCTTATGTTCCATTTATACACTGAACACCCTGTATCTTGAAAACTAGTCATAGGATTGAGTTGTGCCCATGATAGTTATTGATCGGAAAGGTCTGATCTATAACATATTAAAATTTGGTTAAATTTGACCGCGGTCAGAAATCCCATAAGAAGTGTGCGGGGTCCTTTGGAAAATTTCGAATAATTCGTCTTTGGGCCAACATCATCAACTGAATTTTTTTAAATATGGCTCTATAATTTTCATTTAGTTCTTTGTTAGTCTTTGATTTTCTTAATAAAATGGAGTATCAAAAAAATCGATAAAATGAACATTTCAATCAAAAAAGTATGTTATATGAACTTTGTATGGAGATACTTTCTTTGTCAAACACCATGTTTTCCTCATAAATTTGTCTGTCCTTAAAAAATTCAAAAAAAAAAAAATCATTTTTTGGTTCTGTCACGACAAAGGAAAAATTGCCAATATTTCCATTAAAATCTGAACAAATCAAAATAAATTATATACCATTGGAAAAAGAAATTAATTCTCTATAAATGTGTGCTAAATTGAGTTTTATAGTTCAAATACTATTTGAGCAACTGAGCCTCAAAATTGAATTTTAGTCGATATTTAGTCAAAAACTTCAAACTCAATTTTCTCACAAACTCTAAACCTGGAAATATTTTCCAATACAGGTTTTTCAGAACCTAATAGAAGCTAAAATTCCTGAAAATTTTGATTTAATATTGGGCGAGCAGGATTTGATAAACTGCTTTGCCTGTCGTTGTCCTGGTGTTCGCTGCCACCAGCTCTGGAACTTTCTGTCTAGCCAGTTCTTAATAGATGTTTTAAAACTGCCTGCAGAAATTCCGCAGAATGATTCTGGGCCTATCATCTCAGTGGCCGAGCCTCCTTTGGCCAGGTCATCAGCCTTTTCATTTCCTGGGTGGTCCTCGTGACCTGGTACCCAGGCTATGGTAAGTTTGTTGGACAGGCTCACCTCCTCTAGGGCACGTACACAGTTCCCAACCAGCTTGGAGCTGATCTTTTGGGAGCTGATTGCCTTTAGGGCCGCTGGCTGTCC